GGTGCCGGTGCAGGAGCAAATCCCGGGTGTGACGCCGATGTCCCTTCGCAGTGGGCTGAAACCGCCGGGGTGCCGGTGCTCCTTTTGCGGGATACAGCCGTGATCGGGGCTTTCCCTCCGCCACGCTCTCGGCCTCAGCAGCTGTAAAAGGAGGCGCCGTGAGCAGTTGGAGCTGCTGGTCCTGAGAATTGCCATGACATGATTTAGAGCAGGGGGATGCTCAGCTGGGGTTCCTGGATGAGCTCTGTGGGGTTTTTTCTGTTTTCCTTTACAGCCCGAGAGTTAATTTATTCCTTGGTTTACTTACAGCAGGGGTGAGGATGTGTATGCAGAGTAGCAAATCCATTAAGAAGCTTGATAGATGGAGGAGCTCGCACTTCTCTGGTACTAGATACAGTAAAAGCAGCAGGAGCTGTTCCAAGGATGCGATACGATGCGCTGCTGTGGGAGTGCCTGCGCAGCGAGGGCTCGCTTGGGAACACGCTTTCGGGTCCTTCGCCATGAGCAGTTGTGATGCTGGGAGCTGCGCGTGTGGCAGGAAACCGTGCTGTGCTTCAAGGGTGGCCTTTGGCAACTGAGGGCTTCTGGTGCCCCTGTGGTTCTCATGGGAGGTTGTTTGGGGTTTCCAATCTCTTTAAGGAAGGGGCTCCTAGAGACACAGTCTCAACACTAGAGACCTCTTCCTCGCTTACCACATTGCTACTAACATTCTCGAGCCGGCTCTTATTTCGCAAGAGCCGTGCTAGCTCAGCACTGTGCCTGTCCGAATGCAGATTTGTTGGGTGCAGGTCGTGATGGAGACCTGGATCCGATTTGTGCAGAACAGACTACTGCCAGGTTCCCCGTGAAACAGTCCAGCTGAGTGTTGCCTGGCAATGGACACCCACGCAGCGTGGTTCCTGTGCCGGGTAGGGCCTGCACGCCACTGGATGGAGCTGCTGGATGTGGCGCTTGACTGAACGGGCGTTAGATCTGATGAGATACGTTGAGGAGAAACACCTTTAGCTGTTTGAAAGGGTCACTCAGCCTTTCCAAGGAGGGAGCCCATTTCTGCACATCACCCTGGGCAGCTTCTCCCTCTCAGGATGGAGTGGTGGCCACCAGAGTGGGATGTGGTAGATCCAGGCGTTTTAGGATCAGACCTCCTGAAGATGTCTAATAGGGGCGCTTATTTTTGGGTATTCCTCTAAATCGAACAAGTAGGACTGCAAAGGGGTGTCAGGCCCTGGAAACACAGCCTCTGCCAACTGCCCTGCTCGTGTGAGAGGGACAAGACAAATGCAGTGATGTGTATACATGTTTCTGCTTTAAGGTACTAGAGCCCTTCCTTGTGGAGGTGGAGGAAACCATAAAGGACACTGAGATGCTGGCAAAGTTGGTCTCTGGCTGCCTGGGTATTCCTGGGCTGCTTTGCTGGAGGCATTTGCATCCACTGGTCTTTGGAACATCCAGCCTGGTTCAGGGCAGGCTTGGAGCTAAGGCTGGATAAGGAATGCGTGTCCTGCTGCCTGTGTTCTGGCAGGCAAAAGTCCTATAGCTGGGGGGAGTCTTCAGGAGCTATCCTGAGAGTCAGGGCTCGGCCGAGCTGGATTCCTGTGGTGATAGTAACATACCTGATTTCCGTTGTTTTTTAAGGCTAAAGTTCAGACTGCACAAGGACATCAGGGCTATTGATTCGATTTTAATGAGGGAAGGAAATCTCAGCAGAAGCATTTATTTGCATTCAATGCTGCAGTTTCCCTGTCCTGGGAAGTCGATGGGCTCTACTCTTGTTTTGCCTGCTGTCAGGAAGGTCTGAGGTCACCTTTGCTTATCCTCCTGGCAGCAGGTTGAAAGAGCAAGCTGCTCTTTCTCAGGGCGCTCACCTCCATGTTCATCTCGCACTTGGGTCCGTGAGAGGCAGTGGACACCTCTCTCTGGAGTGCAGCTTTGCACCAGGGCTTCCCTGGCCTGTTTTGGGAGCTCTGGGCTGGAGGGTCAGGCTGGGAAAGTGGGAGACCTCCCGGTGCTTTGTGGCAGGGTGATGTGTCTGGGAAAGCTGGGAACTGAACAGTCTTTGGCCTGGGAGCAGCTTTTCCCAGTAAAGTCAGAGGATGCTGGCAACAAATCCTCTCTCCATCATCTTAGAGAGCAACCTTGGCCTCGGTCTGGGGTTTTGGCTGGTGGTGTGTAGGGGACTAAACCCTGGGACCAAAGACTTTGGGCAGCCAAGAGCATTGCGGAGCTCTTGCTCCAAGGGAGTGGTGGGGCCTCGAGGATGGTCCCCCCATGCTGCCAGGAGCCTGGTTGCCCATCCAGGGGCAGGAGACCACGCTCCATCGCTGTAGCATCATCTAGTGGCGAAGGGCGCAAGGAGACGTGTCAGCTCCAGCTGTGCTGTTCTGCAGTGCTGTGAAAGGAGCCTGGAATAACACTTTGTGCCTCTCTCCTTGCAGGGGGTTATGAGCGTTTCTCCTCGGAGTACCCTGAATTCTGTGCAAAAACCAAGTCCCTGAGCAACGTGTCACCCCCCACCAGTGCCGAGCCTCTGGATTTGGGCTGCAGTTCCTGTGGGACCCCTCTTCATGATCAGGTATGTCTAGAAGCCCAGTGCTCAGCTATTTTTTAGCACTGCAACCTGGTAGTGCTGGAGTCTCTCTGCTCTCCCTCAGCCTGCAGAGCTAGAGCCCTGCTCCCTCTCCTCTTGTGGGAGAACATGGAGGTCCTCCTGATCCCAAGGTGTTTGTTCTCCCTGGGGAGTGGACAAGCCGATATCCTATTAACCACACCTGCCCGTTCCTGAACAAGATGAGGAGGGGGAGGGCTGAAATGGGTTTAACAGCTCAGAAAAGGCAGCCTCTGCTCCCTGAGGGCCCTGAATCAGGTGCCAGGTGCCTGCATTGCTCAGGGCCTCCAAGCCATCTGGATGTGTGTCCTGCCCACTGCTGTCCCCTGGTCACCCCTGTATCTGTTTTTTTTCTCTGTAACAGGGTGGCCCTGTGGAAATCCTTCCTTTCCTCTACCTTGGGAGCGCCTACCATGCCGCCCGGCGGGACATGCTTGATGCACTTTGCTGAACGTCTCCTCAGACTGCCCCAACCACTTTGAGGGGCTCTACCAGTACAAGTGTATCCCCGTGGAGGATAACCACAAAGCTGACATCAGCTCCTGGTTCATGGAGGCAATTGAATACATCGGTGAGTGCCTGCAGAGAAGAGCTGTGTCCATCAGGGCAGGAGGTTCCTACCTGAAAGACCCAGAGCCTTTGGCTCAGAAGGGCTGGGGTCCAGCACCCAGTGATGGGTGGTGCATGACCACCAGGCACTGGTGGGAGGGAGGTCATCTACCACCTGCAGGCTTGGTAAGGGGCTGGGCTTTGTTGGAAGGGCATTGGTCTCACATCTCATCCTGTTGCCCTCCAGACTCGGTGAAGGAGTGTTGTGGCCGGGTCCTAGTCCACTGCCAGGCTGGTATCTCCCGCTCAGCCACCATCTGCTTGGCTTACCTGATGATGAAGAAGCGTGTCAAGCTGGAAGAGGCCTTTGAGTTCGTCAAACAGCGCCGGAGCATCATCTCCCCTAACTTCAGCTTCATGGGGCAGCTGCTGCAGTTTGAGTCACAGGTGTTGGCCACCTCATGCGCAGTAGAAGCTGTCAGCCCCTCGGGGACACTGCGGGAGCGGGGCAAGGCCACTTCCACCCCCACCTCCCAGTTTGTCTTCAGCTTCCCAGTCTCTGTTGGTGTCCATGCCACCCCCAGCAGCCTCCCGTACCTGCACAGCCCTATCACCACGTCGCCCAGCTGTTAGCTCAGGGGCTGAGGCCAGCCAAGCAGGTAGTGCCAGGCGTGGAGGGGGCACGTGGGCACGGAGCCCTGTGATGTTAAGCAATAGTGCCGGACACTGCCATTCACCCCGGACTTGAGGTCTTTTTCGTAGAGAAATTTCTTACCTCATCTTGTGTTTTTTTTTTTTTCTTTTTAATTTTATGTTTTGAAAGCACGGAAGTTGTAAGCGCCACAAACCCTGCCATTGCCCAGGCTCTTTGGGGGAGGAAGAAAATAGTATACTAGGTTTCCTCAAGTGCCTGGTCTTCATCTCCTTCCATCCCTGTTTTATTGTCTTGTTTTTTTTTTTTTTTTAAAAAAAAAGCTTAGCTTAAAGCCTACTGAACTTCTAAAAAGAGACAGAAAAATTACTTAAAGAAACTCTCTTGCACAGAGCTGTGGGTGCTGCTTACCTGAGCCAGTTGCACTGGGTGACAAGGAGAGCTGCAGGAAGGGCTGGTGGCACAGGGCTGCCTGGGGTCAGCTGCGCCTGGGGAGGTGATGCAGGAACAGGCGGGCACCTGCTGAGTCACCAGCTGAGCCGTTCCTGAGGGAGAGAGCAATCTGTGGCTGGGAGGTGGTTTGCAGGGGGAGATGCAGTCCTAAACGCCTCTCTTCTTGCCTCTGTGGATCTCTGGGTTCCTGCAAAACTTGGGTCCAAGCTCCTGTGGATTAAAGAAGCAGCAGGGGGCAGCAGTCTGGGCTGCTTTTGATTACTCTGTTTGGTTTCCTCCACCCATCCCACTGCTGGATGGAGCAGGATGGGGCACAGGTGGGGTCTAACGAAGAGAGAAGCAGCCAGGTGGAAGAGAGGCTGGCCCAGAGATGTCATCCATCCAGCATTTTCAAGCTTCCTCCACCTCATGACCAGCCCTTTCTCCACCCGAGAGCTGGGTCTTGCTCACCTGTGCAAGACTGCTGCAGCTTTTGGTCTAGAAAAATGCATCTTCAACCCACCTGGAGCCTTATTTCCCACCCTACCTCTCTCCTTACCCACAGTCCAATCCAACACACAAGATGCCTGTGTGGCTGATGTACATATGTATGGTTTTGTTGTTTTTTTTTTTTTTTTTTAGAAATTAACTTTTTATTTATTGCCTGAGGGAGGGAGAAAACAAATTGTTTTGAGAAAGTAAAAATAAAACCGTTTTCAACATTTGTGGCTGGAGCAGGTTTGTCTTAAGACCCACACAGAATAGCAGGTTGTGCAAACACAGAGCAACTGTTAAAAATGTATTTATTGAATTTTAAACTATTACAAGTATTGCAGATCAGACATTTAGCCAAGCACATTTATAGATCAAACTCGGTTGTTACAGAGATGTAACCTAAAGTCCACCACGTAGGTAGGCTGAGAACCTGCCCATCGTCTTCTTTGAGAGAGAGGGTAAAGGAGGAAATAAATAAATGATACCCTAGCTCCAGGTAACTGGCAACCAAGAAAGGAAACATACAGGGCTAGTTAGGAAAATGAGTTATACAAAAAAAGGTCTAAAAACTCAACCCCCAGGTACAGTGCCATACGGGTTGGCAGAGAAAGCAATTAGGAATGAAGATGCACAAGCTCACGGGACTGTGGCAAAGAAAAATCCCCATTTCAATTTCTAAAGCTGAAGCAAGTTCTGCAGATGTTAAGAAGAAAGTGTCAAAATTACCTTGTAATACAGAGACTCTAATCATCTACATCAGTAATTAATAGAACCAACACACTAAAACTTGCTGCTGATAGGTTCAGTAAAGACAGAAATAGATCTACCAAAGCCAGTCAGATAATACAACCTGACAGGCACGTGTGTTAGTGTTCTGGGAAATGCACCTGTTTCTCGTGTTCCTCACTGATTTCATGGACTTGTTCACCTTGCTTCAGAAGTTTTAACACACATGCTGTCCCCTGATCCTCCAGGTTTCACTTCCAGTATGTGTTCGGACAGGTGGGAACACTGCCACTCCATCTCTGTGCACATGTCCTGCTGCTCTCTGGAAGATCAGGAGAGCATGCTCTGGCCTGTCCCAAAGCCACCCACTCTGATCATCAATGGATTCAAGGCTACGGAGCTTCACAAGCCACTCATTACCTGACGCTGGAATTCAATCTGTCCCTTCCCATGTCTTTCCCAGCAGGGCTGCAGCACAGCTTAAAATAACTGACGCACGCATCAGATGTGTCTCCTTTTAGGTTTCCGAGACACATTTTCTGTGGCAAAGCAGCAAGGAAAGGGAGAAATCCCACTAAAAATAAATGCACACATTTCATGACCTTCAGCTTCTGAGAACAATTAGCAATGTTCAACCTATCTGTTTGATGGTTGGACCCTTCCTTTGACCCATCTTTTGAAAAAACCTGTTCTGGGTAATTTCTGTTGACAGTCTCATATGGAAATTCCAGATAGTGCATGCACTGCACAGGAGGTGACTTCACTGCAGAGAGGCAGAAGTCTTTTTTGAGAAGATTTGCCACTGTCTTAAGTAGTTCTCACAGGCCACACAGTGGCACAAGTTAGCATCCCTCAACGTTCACGGGGAGCAGACATCTCTAACCTACAACAATCAGTATGATCAGCTTGTTTCCAGAGCCAAGGAAGTGCCCTTCTCCAAAAGCTACCCCGTCCCATATACCATATGCCTTTTTCTGTGTCTGCTGCCCACCAAAGCCAGCAGTGCAGAACATTCTGCAGGGCTTTCTTTTTGCTTCAGTGTGGAATTTTGTTTTGGGACACTCCCATTATCAACAAGC